AATAATACATAAAACAATGATATCAACAAATAATACTCAATAATAACAGTTTAACTTAATTCAAAATGTTTTCTAACAAAGGTTATTGTTTTCAAGAATATGGACAATGATAGAACAGAAAGTAGAGGAATAATGATTCCTTACACTGTCTGCACAGGAGCTATTGTTCTGTTAAATCCTTTCACTATCTATACAGGATCTGCTGTTCTGTTAAATGATGGTACTAAAAATACTCTTTATGGTAGAAGTTTTAATTTTTTACTTAATTTAATCTTTTTGTTTAATTTTAATAATACTGAATAATTTTTTTTTTGATTGTTTTAAATATAATAGTTAATTTAAATTGATTTTTAGATGAATTGTTAAATGGTCCTAAATTTAATGATGCAGGAGCTTGTGATACAAAGAAATTATCTTCTGTAGATAAGGGAGCTACAAGGGAATTATCTCCCATATCTTTGCATTTGATTAACACATCTATTGTGAATTGTGTAGATACTTGGTTTTTATCGAATCCATTTCTTGGTTTGCCATCTAAAAAGGTTTTATTGTATGTTTTAATTATTTTTCCAATTATTATTTTGATTAATAATAATTATTTATTTAATAATCTCTAACTATTTTTTTTAAATACTTTTAACTATATTATTCTCTTACTCTATAACCATTAAATAACACCCAAAATCATATAATTGTAGGCTTTTTTAACCTATTAATAATACCATGTGTTTTCTTGTTTATAAAAATATTTAAATTTCTTTTTTCCATCACCAAATTAAGAAAATAAGAATCAATTGAAAATAATAATTGTAAAATCTTAATTTTGGTTGTGATATTTCGAAAATAAAGCTCAATTTAAAATATAATGCCGGAGAAACAGAGATCAATATGTCATTGAAAAAGTTCCCTTGGTGTCAATGTTTTGGACAATTTAAAACTACAATGAAAAAAATGTAAGGTGAATCAAAAATTGGGTATATTAAAACACGCAATTCTCTATCCAGATTAAACATCAACAAAGTTGTTATATGCGTCACTCATTCTACCCTATATGGAATGCTTTTTAAATATGGAAGCCTTATTAAATATGGAACTAAATATTTTATTAAAGATATCAACTTAATTGAAAAAGTGCAACAAAAACTACAAAAATTGGCTGCAAACAAAAGGAAGACAGTTACAAGCTAAGATTAGAGGAAACGGACAAAATCTAATAGAAGAGAAAACGGTGATCTTATCCAAATGTACAAAGTCATAAATAAACATGATAATATCAATTGGCATAGACTGAACCATTAGGTAGGCTAACTAGAGGGCACAATCAAAGATTGAGAAGGCAGTATGTTCAAAACTTTTTGCCAAGGCATCATTTTTTTATGAACCGTATAATTGAAAATTGAAATTGTTTGGACAGTGAAGTTGTCAATTCTAAATCAGTGATTGATTTTAAAAATAAACTTAGAAAATTCAGCAAAACCAGCCGTTAAAATATAACATCTACAGTTGTTAGATTTTTTCGTAAAACTCTCAAGAACACAGCTTCAATTATTATTATTATTATTACTATTATTATTATTATTATTATCATTATTATTATTATTAATTATTTGTAAAATTATAATAATGTTAAATAAATCTTTATTATCAATTATAATACGGTGTGCTAAAAAACTAAAGTTTCAAAATGTTCCTCAGCTTTTTTTCTGGTTCTAATTCATTTCAAAATCAAACACAAATGTTTGATATGTTTTGATTCTCTAATGAAAAATGTTAGCTCCCTAATGATTTTTTAATTATCATTTATCTCAAAATCTAATGAAGAAAAATTTCAAATTTTTTCAGTTTAAGTATAATTCTTTTGAGTTGTTTTACTTTTAACTTGTATTATGTTTAAATTTCAATAAAATAGCAAACATTTTGTGTCTATGTAAAGAAAATGTCAATACTGTTTTTATTTAAATTTTTAGGAACATTTTAAAATTATTTTATAAATTTTATTATAATATAATACATTTATAAATTTAAAATCAGCATTTAATATTAGAAATTGTCTTCCATTAATGCTTGAACAGTTTACACTAGTCTCTTTTAAACATTCATAATTTTTTTTTCATTATAATATAACTATCTTATTCTAATTTAAACTTGAAATTTGAGGTAAAAGAATACATAGATTAATGATATTTTATTTATTATTTGTTTTGTTAACTTAAATTTGTATGCTTTATGTTATGTTGTTATAACTTGAGAATCTTTATGCTGTTATGATTATACAAAGGAATCTTTGGCTTTTATTTAAAACTTAAGAAAGTCAGATTTTTTATTTTGTTGTTAATTATTTTTTGAGACTTCCAACACTTTATAACAAGTCCTGTTTTCCACTTACTCTTTATATATATATATATATATATTTTTAATTATCTTTGCTTCCAACAAGGCTGCAAGCAACCACTAATTAGTGTTGGAAGTTACGGGAAAAGAAAAGATGAAGATTGTAGAGCAAGATAACAATTGACAGACGACTTAAAAGATTGCAAATTATATGAATCAGGAAAGCAAGATGAAGGAAGCGAATTCCAAAGAACTGATGTTCGAGGAAAAAAACTAGACGAATAAGAGTTTTTTGAGCACTTAGGAACAGTAACAGAAAATGGATGAGACTAAATTGAATGACGAGTAACACGAAAATGAATTTTAGTAGATGGCACAAGAGACGTTCGCTCTTTCGAGCAGTGCCCATTATAGTATTTGTAGAAAAGAGAAAGAGAAGCAACATTACGACGATGTGGCAGAGGTTGAAGGTTGGCTGCAAGAGCAGGTCCAACTATGTTTACAATGCGTTTTTTCACCTTGTCTAATAGAGAAAGGGCATCATTAGAAGATCCGCCCCAGATATGGCAACAGTATTTCATACAAGGCCGGATTTGAGATTTATAGAGATAGAGAATAGAATCCAGAGTAAGAAAGTGACACCGTAAAGATTGAAACCCATATTGTTGATCAGAAAGTAGGTTATGAGATTCGAGATTCGAGATTAAGTGTTTGTTAATTAAAGATTCAAAAAACTTGCTTATGATAGGAAGAAGACTAATGGGACGGTAGTTAGACGAATCGGATCGCTCTCCAGAATTTTTAAAAATAGGGATAACAGATGCTGCTTTCCAGCAGGCTGAAAAACAAGACTTTGATAAGCACTTGTTAAATAGTTTTGAAAGGATAGACGACAGCTTCGGTCAACACTTCTGCAAGACTATAACAGGTATGCTGTCCAGGCCGCAAGCTGTAGAAGAGTCTAAGCAGGAAATCACTTTAGATACAGAAGCTGGAGTGATATGAATGTCGAGCAATGGATCAACCTATTTGACGGCTATATCAGGTAGAACGCAACTAGTGGCATCAAGAGATGATATTGATGAAAAGTTCTTGGCAAACAATTCAGCTTTGTCTTTAGGTGAGGTGACAAAGTGTGAACCATACAAAAGAGGTGGAATTACAGACTTGCCTTTATTATTGATACTATTAAAAGTTCTCCAGAAGTCACGAGAGCCTAATTTTTGTGATGAAATACGAGATTTCATGATCTGAGAATAGCGGGCTTTGGCATTAGACAAAACCTTTTTACAATGGTTCCTAGCAGTAATTAACAGATGTCTGTTTTCTGGAGAATTGTTTTGCTGATAGATATGGAAGTAATGGTTTCGATTGGCAATTGCAGTAGCACAATGTGAGGAAAACCATGGAGAAGAGTGAGGCTTGACCTGGAATCGTCGAGAGGGAATAAAGGATTCCATGCCAGCCTGAATCCACGAAGTTATGTTAGAAGCACATTTGTCAACAGGGAGACGAAAGGTTTCTACCCAGGGGCCATCACAAAGAAAATCACGGAAAGAGTCCCAGTCAGCTTTAAGGTAGTTGTAAGATGTACGATGAAAGGGGGGTTCTGAGGGTAAAGAAGAATGAGATAATAGTTTTAGAGAGACCAAACCATGATCAGAAGCACCTAAGGGTGAGTGTGAAGAAACTGAGCACTGACTAGGATCAGAAACAAGACATAAGTTGAGTAGAGAAGGTAAATGTCTGGAAAGCGAGTTGGAAAGTTGACTATTTGAGTTAGGGATTGAGAAAGACAAAAGTTGTGGGCCTTAATGCCTGCAGAGTCACTGACACTAGAGCCAAGCCATTCAGTGTGATGAACATTAAAGTCACAGACAACAACAATATTGGCTGATGGATAAAGAATGAGGGCTTAGTCAATATAATCAGAAATAATATCAAGAAGAGTGCAGTCTTGAGATGAGGGAGAGCGATATAGAACAAAGAGAAAGGTGATAGAATGAAGTGGTGCTAAATGAAAGCACATAAAAAAGTATTCTGTAGATTCAAGCCTAGTTTCCCAACAAATGGGTGAATTCTTACAAATGTAAATGCCCAGGCCAAGCATGTGATTATTGGAGTCTTTACGAATTAAAGGAAGATAACCATCAACACTAAGATCACAAGATGAGACAGCTGAACTCAAATTAGTCTCACAAAGAGCAAGTAGGTCTGGTGAACTTTGCAAGAGATAAGACTCAACAGAAGAAAAGTTACTTTGAAGACCACGAATATTGGTGAATGATAGGTTTAGCGAACGTGGTGACGACTGTGGTTTTTTGTGTTTTATAGTTTTTGTTATTTTATTCATTTTTAAATTTGTTAAAGAACTTGACTCGAAACATAGCACATAGTATAGATAGTACTCAGTACACTGCTTTATAGCTCAAGCAATTGCCTCATTTCCACTAATAAACTCTAAGCAGTAACAAAGGGCTCCAATGTGGCCTTGGCAATGCTCACTAAAAGTACAAACAGGGACACCATCCATGCGCAGCATGGCACTGTTAGTACTCTGATATTTTTCAGCTGTTGATGGAATCAGCCTCTCTGAGAGCTACCACAGAGTTCGGGAAACCTGACTACCAGCCGGGTTTAGAACCATAAAACTGAGTTTTAGAGCTGTA